GTTGGCATTTTTGTTGAGCAGCTTGAAATTCATTTGGTGGGTGGTTGTTTTGATCATATCTATTGTTTAATGTGGTGGTGTAGGCGGTTATTTGATCAGATGTGGTGGGTAGTTGTTTCATCAGATCTATTGTTTAACCCGAGTTTTGGGATGGTTGGTGTTTTGCAAATGGTGCTACCGATTTCCTGATATGTAAAGGTAAACTTGAGTTGAAGGTGGTAGTGGTGGTGCATTGAGTGGATGTGGTGGTGAGTGGTTGTGGATTGTGGTGTTGGTCTTTAGTGTGTGCAGATTTGTTTGTGGTGACCCTTTGTGACTAAATATTTGTTTATTGTGATCAGTTGTGACCAATTGTCTTCATTGTGTCTATCTATGACCAGATTAACAGTGAGTGACAAATTAGACTGATTTGGTCACAGATAGTCACAATGAATACAATTTTTGTCCCAATTAGTCATAGATAATACATGTAACTTGGTTACATACAATCACAAATTAGACTGACTTGGCATAGACAGTTTGGTCATAGTTAGTCACAGATAACACATGTATGTTTAGAATCAATAAATCTAGTCATATATAACACAATTAGCCACAAATCTCGTAAAATTAAATGCAACACTATTGCCACTATACAGTACTTAAAACTTTGCTACCATCTCACCACTGCCACCATCGCCTTCACCATTAAACAGATCAACTTCTATGTACTTTTATCACCTGCAATGCACTATCATCACCACCATGCAAATCTATTTTCTAACACAGTGCTGTCTCATAACCACCATCACTTGTAAAATTATTTGTGTTTGTAAAAGTGTATAGAGAGAGAGCTTCTGTAGAGAGAAAATGGGTAATTGGCGCAAAACGTCCCAACTTTTGAAGGTTTCTGTGGAAAACGTCCATACCTTTTGTTTTTTGGAGCAGAACGTTCCTACCTTTCACTTTCTTTGCGTAGAACATCTTTTAAACAAATTTTTAACATAAAATGAAAATTATACCCTCGTATATACATAAAACAAAAAAGAAAAGAAAAGAAAAATAAAAAATAAATTGCAATCTGTTCCTAAACTTTTTTTAAAATGCAAATCTGTTCAAAAAAGTGGCGATTTTTTTGCCTTTTTTTTTAGCCTAAATGCATCCAAATTTTGGCAACCTTCTGCCACCCAAGCTGTCAAACGTTGACACCATCGATCAACAACCATCCATTTTCCCCTTCAATTACCACCCAACCACTCCCAATTTCATCAACTGTAGTGGTCGGAATTAATGCTGAAAGTTCACTCTCCTCAAATCTAAAAATCGTCGAAAATTACATT